TGCTCTTGCTAATTTCTTCGAGTAATTTTGTCTGGGAATGAGATAGCGGTTCAGTGGGTCAGTTCCTTTTATTATTATTATTATTATTTTATTAATATTAATATTATTTATGCCTGGCGGCTTAGCTAATTGGTAAGCGTGCTCGCTTTACATGACATGACCCCAGGTTCAATTCCCGGTCAGGCCAGATTATAGTATGCATTTTCCTTGTAATGTCTCAGTAAATGTTGATGTGTGACGATGAGAAAATTTACTTCTCAGGTTGAGAAGTCCACAATGCGGCGTGTCAACCACACGTACCCCTTAACCCACGGCCGCGAGGCCGAAACGTCGATGGTAGGTCATGGCCCTTACCAACACCACCTAGATTACAGTATGTCTAGGTAGTACCCGTACACGGGCCGCCAAGAACTAACAAAACAAATATTATTTATATTATTCAAAGATATAGATTTTTGCCATCAATACTACATTATACCGTGCGAAAACAGAGTTAGCAACACCTAGTCGCCACAGTTGACAACGGTCCATTTATTGACATCACGCGACTGGTTCAGTGTTTGGCACAAGCCATGTTATTGCACTCGATACTTCCGGAGAAGCGTTTTTCCTACCATTCTAACGTTTCATGTACTGGATAAGCTCTTGCACGGAAGCTTGATTCCACTACTAAAGCACTTGATGATGCTTTAATAATTACAATGCTTGAATAATTAGAACATTATTTCTTGTTTGTCTTTCATGTATTAATTTGTATTATTATTTGTATTTGAAATATACATTCTAATAAAAGTATGTATAAAGTGCATGAAGCTACTTAGTATTTGCTTGTGAGAATAGTTTTCACGTGACCATCGATTCATACAGTTAATGATTTCTCATCCCGACAATAGCTTTGACATTGATGCCATTGGTTTTTTAGTGATCATTTTTATTAATCATTTACCTTGTTTCTCCAACGTTCCCCCTTGTTTACCTTGTTGCACCAACGGTTAATTCCAATGGATTCTCTTTGGGATAACACGCCTATTACAGGGCAATAGCTTGAAGATTTCGAGTGTTTAAAAAGGAGACTTTTTTGAACTAACCAATAAGAAACTGAAGTTCGAAACAATTCGAATATTGTTCTTTTTTCCCTAGATTTTAGTGTTTTAACTCGGTAGTTGGAAAAGTAAAACAAAACATGCAGAAGGAAAAATAATGAATGGTCAATCTTAACTGCAGTCGTAACTATATGAGCTAAATCAGAGCCGTTTTCGAGTTGAGACATGCAATGACAGGATTAGCAGCCAACGACAGACTAAATCGAACATTGGTAAAAAAGTATCGGTATAAACATTTCAGACAACAATGATATTATTATTATTATTATTATTATTATTATTATTATTATTTAGAAGAATGCAACGAAATATTAAAATCAATGTCATAATACGCAAAAAAGCATATTTAGTTACATTAAAGTATTTCTTATATTGCGAGCGATCTGCAATGATATTCTTACCCGCACAGAAGGGCTCATGTCCAGAACCTCCGCCCGACAGAATACCTACTTTGTTCCTCGGTACATCCTATGAACAAAACAAAAGCCAATATTTTATCAGCGAATTATATTAACAAAAAATATCTAAAACAGGTTTAACATAAACAAAAATAACTCGTGCCGCGACTTAGTGCTTACCTTAAAATGTAGTTTAATAATGCGACAAATGGAGAATATATTAGGCTCGCAATATATAACACCGAGGAATGTGTTTCCAGAAATGTGAAAAATCGAAACAAAGAACACTTATCGACCTTCACACATTTAAAAGATTTTTTCTCGTTATGGCAATAAAACAAGGATTTCACGGGTAAAAATTACACAAGAGCATTTAATAAAACAAGAAATAGGAGTCGCAGCTAATCTCATAGCTAACTGCTGTCTCCACTCTCGGCTTGTGGCACATGAAAGCATTTCGATTTATCGAATGACATTTCTAGTGTGTGGACGCAGTCTCGCCGGCCTCTTTCCTCATTTCTCTACCCACATTTCTCGCAACACATCTCTTGGGGTACTCTGTTGCCGGCCTTAGTCTACAAATTTGGGGCAGAAACTTTGTAACCAACTTTCAAAATATGAATATTGAGTTGTGACATGTGAGATTTTATTATAATAATAATAATAATAATAATAGCTATAGAAACAATAGTAATAATAATAGATAGAGAAACAATAGTAATAATAATATATATAGAAACAATACTAGTAATAATAATAATAATAATAATAATATCAGCAACAATAACAATAACAACAGAACCCTTATAAAGCCTTTTAGTGATGCTCACACCTCTATCACGTATTAAAAGTGTGATATCTGCACATCAACTACTAGCGAAAACTTGAAACACTTTCATCTCAAAGCGCATGAATGTATTTATTGAATATAAAAATTAGTTCGAAGCTTTATCCAGCAAACAACACTTTCAAACATTGAAAGTCTTTGAAAGGAGATTATTTAGAATTACACTATGGAAGTGTTTTAGAATAGATAGTACGTATTTACGTACGTTTTAGGCGTAGGGATGTAGCGACCCCATCGCCCTGCACGCCCTTATCGGTGGGTGGGGAATGCAGCAATTAGCCTGGTTTCTCCAGAAGCTCTACAAAGGAGTGGCTGACCGCTGTCCGTAACTGTAAGATATCCTTCTTACCTAAAATCCTTTCCCG